AGTGGCGGAGGGGGGGGGAGGGGAGGTAGGGTTGGGTAGGTGGATGGTGGAAGCTAGTGGGGAGGGAAGCTAGAAAAGGAAATTCCAGGCAGGAGGAAGGGCATTTAGAGGTGAGACACTTGGACTGGGAGGAGAATGATGAAAGATAAGATTAAGAGGACAAATTCTTATCTTCTAATCAAGGAGTTTGAATTTTGTCTTGCAATATATTTAGGAGTCACCTAATCACTAGGAGAGTATATGTATTTTAATTCACCTAATTTACTAATGTTATCTCTTCCACTCTTAATGAAATATACCTCTCCTCCCACCCCTCCCACCCCAAACTAAAAATCCAAATTACATCCCTGGAATTCAAGGATAATATTATGGATAGATCCATCTTTTTTTTAATGACACACTTAAAAATTTGTTTCTGGGTTTTATTCATTTAGTAACTCATTGTGGTCCTATCTTTCCCCCCATCATAATCATCTTCAAATGAGTAAAGTAACAGCAGTTGTTTCAATTTAGCAACATCGGGAAATATAAATAAATCATTATCAAAATCCATAGCTTATTAAAGAGTCTTCAAATATCTGGTGGCTAAGATTTGAGGCTTCTAAGACACTGTAAAAGACTATTCACGAAGACATCTCAGTTGAAAGTTCAGAAAGTCTCACTCCATTTAAGTTTCTCTTAGCAATAAGAAATAATTTTTTGAAAAGGGAATTGTGGAGCTGGGTGAAAAAGGTGGAAGGTTTAAGAAATACAAATTGGTAATTACAAAACAGTCACAGGGATGTAAAATACAGCCTAGGGAATATAGTCAATATTGTTGTAATAACTGTGTCTGGTGTCAGAAGGGCACTAGAATGACATAAATGTCTAATCACTGTGTTTAAACTAGTATAATATTGAATGTCAATTGTAATAGGAAAACCATTTAATTGAAAAAAAAATAATGGAAAACTTCAAGACAGGTTTCAAATCCAGAGTCTCATAGTCTATCTATATTTGATCCTTAGCAAATTAGAATATTGTCATTTGGTAATTTCGTGGCAAGGTTGCTTCTTCAAAATTTTGTGATGCCAGTGTGTAGAAGAAATCCAAAAGTTAACAATTTATTCAGTGCCCTTTGTTTTCCTGCGAACACTGCCCCCCTAATTCTGTAGCTTCCAAGGTTGCACCAAAAGAGGCTTTTAAATATGTATGTATGTGTGTGCACATGTGTGTACATATGTACACATGTGTGCATACATAAACAGATATATAAATTCCCTTTATATAAATGTAAGCTTTATATATTTGTTACATATTTAATAACATACATTTAATACATACATATAAACTAAAGACTTGGGAAAACTCTTGCTTTTTAGATCTGTACATATAGGTATACTAGAGGCCCAAAGCACGAATTCGTGCACCGGTTGGGTCCTTCGGCCTAGCCTGCGGTGATAGGACAGAAACTGGCTCTCCAACATCCTCCAAGGGGTCCCAGATTGCGAGAGGGCGGTCCTTAGGTGATGCACCCCGTAATCGGGCTCCCTCCTCTCTGGTTCCAGGTGTATCACCTGAGAGCCACAGCAGGGCTGGGATGAGCAGGAGTGGTGCGGTGCCTGGCCTAGGCTCAGGCTCCTCCCCAGCACACTACTACATCCCTCAGGGTATGTTGGACTGCTGGTTTTGGCCCAAAGGATCCCAGATTGCGAAAGGGCGCAGGCCAGGCTGAGGGACCCCACCAGTGCACGAATCCATGCACCAGGCCTCTAGTATATAGATAATTGTTTTTTGGAGGACAAACTAAAGGTAGAGATGATCTCTTTTAACAGAGAAAAATTTCCTAGAACTTGGTTCTAGCACAGTTATTATCAAACATTTTAATATGGAATTTGCGGGGGGAAAAACTCAATGAAACCCATTGCTCTGTGGGTGGCCTGGTACTTTTTCTAGTAGTAAAATACAGCTTTGCCGAAACTGGTTTGGGTCAGTGGATAGAGCGTCGGCCTGCGGACTGAAGGGTCCCAGGTTCGATTCCGGTCAAGGGCATGTACCTTGGTTGCAGGCACATCCCCAGTGGGGAGTGTGCAGGAGGCAGCTGATCGATGTTTCTCTCTCATCGATGTTTCTAACTCTCTATCCCTCTACCTTCTTCTCTGTAAAAAATCAATAAAATATATATTTTTTTAAAAAAATACAGCTTTGATGGATTCAAACATCAACAGACCTTTTGCCATTGAGTCACACAAAAATAATAGTAATAATAATTTAAAAAGGAAAACGAAAAAGGAACATTCATTAGGCAACTGCATTTAAACACACATACTAGTAACAGCAACATATGACCTGCCTCATGGGGGGGAGGGGGGCGCGGCGGGCAGATAATAATGGAAGCCAGACTTTGGTGCTGACTCAGGGGAGGGATCTGGCTGCAGTGGGCAGATGGTCCAGTGACAAGCTTAGTCAGCAAGAACCATTTGGGAAACACAGATCCTCTCCGTGAGCAAATCTTTTTGTCATTCCTGGAGAATAGTCACATTCTGTGGCCAAACCACCTTGGAATTAGAGTGGAACCGGGCTGATGAAAATTAAGCCCAGTTGATTAAACACTCTGAACTCTGACTCTGACAAGTGATCAGCTTTCACAGCTGAAAACTGGCAGTGGCTAACAGAGATGCTAAGAGATGATGATAGTTACAGCCAACATGGATTTAGTGTTTGTTTTATGTATGGTGCATTGTTTTAAGCCCTTTCCATGCATTAATTCATTTAATTCTCACAACAGCTCTTTGAGGTAAATAACAATATCATCCCCATTTTATACATGAGGAAAATGAGTCACAGAAATGTTTTTTTTTAGTTTTTTTTAAATTTTATTATTTATTACAAAGATGCCAATTGTCTTTTAACTAGTAAGTCAGGAAACTAGGCCTCCAACCCAGGAAGCAGACAAGAAACATGAACAAGACTATGGAAACACGAACAACCAGAAGAGAAGCCATTGTCATAGTCTATAAGAATCTGTTTTAGGAGACACAAATTACAATGAGTCTTGCTTCAGACAGTAGAAAGTATGACTCATGAAAGCCATTATCCAAAGAAGCATAAAGGGTAGAATCTTCAATTCTATATCAGCAGGAGATTTAAGGTTTTTATAGATTTGGTGATCTAGAAATTTGTGTTACTGCCAGTGATAAACTCACACGTTAGCAGGGCCATACCATTTGAATGGATGGATGAATGTGAGGAATATATATGTACTTTTGAAATCTCATAGGAAATTTTTTTATGCATAGAGTTTGAGGTCCGGTGATTGCATTTATCCTTTTGGGTTTCATCTGGAGAAAAAGTTTAGATAAATTCCATAATAATATTTTGCTTCAGCTAGATTAGTAAATGCAAGCAACCTAACTGGGAGTGAAAATGGGGAGGAATGGCTTTTGGCATTATCTATTAAGATAATAATGCTACATATCAATTTCTAAATCTTAGTGCATGAAACAATGAAGATTTATTAAAGATTTCTGGGATGGTCTTGACTGAACTTACCTGGACTTATACATTTTTCTGTGGTCAACTGCGCATTATCTATGTACCCCTGCTGATCTTAGACAAGCTCACTCAAATGTCTGGGTGGGTGTTTGCCATTGGATGATCTAGTTTGGCCTTGGCTGGAATGGTAGGGATGACTCATCTCTATTTGTAGCTCATCTTCCAGCAGGTCTGGCTGGGCATATTCAAGTAGCTATGCAGAGAAACAAGCTATGCAAAGCAAGCCCGGATGCTTAAAAATATTTTGTATCATTTGCTAATATCTCATTGGTCAAAACAGCTTATCTGAGGTCAGACCAAGGGTCAGGTTGAGAGAACTCAACAATACTAAATGACAAAAGAAAAGGATATTGGGAGGAGTAAAGAATTAGAACCATTAGTACAATTAATTTTTAGCAGAACACATTTTTCCCCCCAGAGTGTGGGGCGAGGAGGAAAGGGTTCATTTTGGTTTTCAGACTGTAAACTTACAAATTGATATTCGGTTTGTGCTCAGACAAATAAACTAAGAAAAAACCCTCCCAGGCATGTTAGTGCATTGATCAGGTTTGTTAGGCCAATATGGCTTTTTAAAAATTCATTCATTTTAAAACATGTTTGTAGTAATAACAAGCAGCAATTTTCACAGCCAAGTAAGGATGTGGAGGTGGCGCCAATTCGCAAAGAATAATTTTTTGCCCGGTTACGTTTTCAAAAGATTATCATTTTGCAGAGTAATTGCAGAAGAGGGGTTCGTCAGACGTTAGTTTGGGTCACTTTTTCTTAGGAACTAAGTGTACAGAGTCACTGAGGACCCTATTTCTCCCCACTCTGCGCCCCCCACCATCCATGGTTCGTTTGTTAGGGCCATAGCCTTTGGCTATATTTTATCATGTGGGTTCACTTAATATTCAAATCGTTAGTCCCCCTGGGATTCTGACTAGATTTTACTGGGAGATTGGAGTGAAAGGGGTTGGACGAACAACGAATTTCCAGTCTTTATGAAATTGTAGGGGATAATGAGGAAAAAATAGCTAATTTGGTTGCAATTAACAAAATAGCCCCCTTTGTAGAAAGAAGCTCCTAAGTACCTGTTTCCAAAATAGAATTTGACAGTTTCTACAGTGAAAACAGAGTTAATTTGAGGGAGACATATTTATCCAAACACGAATACTGGTTATGAATGTTTCTAACGTAACTGGAAGGGGTCGACACTGGCCTCTTTACTTCTAAGGCAAGTTCACATTCTGCTTCAGCTGATTATTTTTTCAACAATATTTGTCATATGCTTTTATGGTCTGCCAGTACTTTTTTGAAGCCCAGTTAGATCAGCAGCCAACAGAGCTGAGACTAAAAGGGGGCCAAACATCTCTCCAGAAGCAAGACTACTTCAAAAGATATGCATTACAAAGCCCTACTGTGACTCAAATAATCACTTATTTTTAAGGGGGATTTGCTAATGTAGGATTGGTTTCTTATCTTCCCAGCCCCTAGTGAGCCTTTACTGTGCAAATTCGCTGATGGAGGACAAAAGAAGAGACAGAATCAAAGCAAATACACCCAGAATGGAAGGCCTTGGCCCAGGGAAGGAGAGGTGAGTCCCAACTGGCTTGTGCTCAGAAACTTGGCAGCAGACATCCCTCAGAAGAGGGACAACACAGACTTTTGGGGTCTTGAAGAAATCAGGTCCCATGGAAAAGCAAATGGCTTCTCAGGGGGCAAACGATCAGGCCTATGTTAATGTGTTCAGGATAAAATTGCTTAAGAAAGAGATAGGACTTCAACATTGACCTCAGTTCTGCACCACAGTAAGTCTTCTGTCTTTAACTAAACTTGAACCCCATAGGCACCCACAGAGAGACTTATTCACAAGAAGTGATGTGTATAATAGCTAAAAAATGACGGTATGATTACTTAAGAAAATATTGGTGAAATCAACAGTGAGAGTTGAGTGTGTTTTGAAACAAGCAAACAAACATTGTGATTGAGGTGTCCTACCTCTACCTGCACACGTATTTATGCATATGCCCAGATGTTCATAAATGTGTTGATATGTGTTATGTATGTTTACATATCAATATAAAATATAACAGTTTCTGTTGGTCAAGGAGAAAGAAAAGTCGATACGCACAGGGTTTTGTTTTTCACAACAAGGAGGAAAGCATGTAACTATTAATTATCCATTTACTCTCGTAACACAAAATGGTAGAAACGCAAGCCTATGGATCCAATTCCACTTGGAATGATTTCTTGTGGTTATTTTTTTCTTGTAAGAAAACAAAGAAAAGGTGTCTGGGCTTCTAAGAGGTCTTTTTATTCTTTGTGAAAGGAATGAAGTTGTTTGAATGACTTGAATAAATGCCATTTTGTACCAAGGCCATAATTTCAACAGAAGAGCTTTATTTAGCATTTCTATTCAAAGCACCTACTTCACCCATTTATCATTTAAGAGGCATCCTATTTGATGCAGCATTTTACACTCTTAGCACTGAGAGGACATTTGTAAGGAAAGAAAAGGGGGGACTTTTTCTCAGCCAATCCTTTAGCCATTTTTCAGTTTCTAAGGCTCAGTTTTGAGCATTTTCATGCAGATCTCAAAACCCCTCTTAAAGAGTATACTTATATCCAAGTACTGTATAATCTATAACTCATTACCTGAAGACACGAAAAAGAGAATCACCACGGAGTGCCTAAAGCTATTTTTAAAAGGGCAAGAGTCCCAATATTCTCAATTTTAGAAAAGCTGAATGACCCATGTGTTTTTAGCATGCAGTTTAATGGCCAGTGGGTAGCACCACTGCCCCCAGAAGACAGCTGATTTCTGATAGCGCTCATTCCCACGTTGGTCCTATACCAAACGTCCAGTCTAGAAAGATTCACTTGATCTTATAAAATTTGGCCGGGTCAAATGCCTGCTGAGTAGAAAGATTTCTGGATCCAAACTGTAACCCAAAAGCCTCATGGCTGAATTAGATAACTTGGCACTAATGACTGAAAGTTCCATTCTTGTCTTCTCAAGAAGCTATAATATTACATTTGCAGTGCAGAATTGGGATGCCAATTGCAGCAACACGCCTCGCCTGAGTCTACATTTCATAGAAACCAAACCAGTAAACATAAAAGAAATGCAGAACTGGAGCTGCTACCCCGGTACTATGCACCGAATCTGGGCTTCTGGTTTCGAGTATGATACAAAAGAGCATGTGTGCTCTTGGCCTGGAAACATTGTGGTGTTCAGTTTAGGATCCAGAGTCCCTTATTCTTCAAATGTAGGTTTTAAAAGTATATTCCTAATCTCTGTTTTCAAAAGTCACTTTTTCTGTTGAATTATGAAAATCAAGGGACCTTAATAAATTTATCTGTGACCAATACAAATATATTCCAAGGCTGTAGACACGTTCAGAGGAAAGAAATCAGAAAAAGAAATGGCATGCACTGAAAATGTGCCTATCAAATATATTGATTTTGAGGTGAGCATGTTGATTTTTACAATTCTATTGTGGTCTTAGAAGTTATCCAACACACCAAGAATGTTGGATAACTTTGTGTGTCCATCACAAAATATTTTGTACCTGCTAGAGTAAAGTGTATGAGGATGATTGATAAAGTATGGCATAATATACATTAATCCCAGATAAGCAGTATTTAATTTTATAATCCAGTAAATTCTAATTATTGTATTTATTGTTTCTAAGGCACACATTTTTGTTGTTTTTCAACATTTTAACACTTCTGAAATTGGTTTCCCTCATATCATCAATGTCATCATTACAAGATAATTTGTGTTCGCTCCTGTTAGTCACCTGGGTGTATTACCTACATTCTCTGTTTAAGGTCTATGACCACACTGATTGCATGAGCAGAAGCTTTAATCAAAGCAAGAGCAGAGGGTCAGATTCTTAGGGGAAATTATTTTTTGTCCCCTTCCTTTATCCAGTGCTAAGATTGAGACCTGCAACTCCCTCGAAGTTCTTTCTGATGGGTGGTGGTGTTTTTCATTTACCTGGTAGCCCTTTGGCATCCCAGCTTCATAAGGAGGCCATTTTGGATGTTTGTTTTGCTTGTTTATTTGTTCTGTTATACAGTTGACCTTGAACAACAGGCATTTGAACTTCACAAGTTCACTTACACGTGTGTGTGTTTTATAATATGTTTTTATTGATTCTTAGAAAGAAGAAGGAATAGGGATAGAGAGATTGATGAAAGAGAAGCATCATTGATCAGCTGCCTCCTGCATGCCTCTTACTGGGGATTGAGCCTGCAACCTGGGCATGTACTCTGAATAGGGAATCGAACCTGTGACCTCTTTGTTCATTGGTCATTGCTCAACCACTGAGCCACACCGGCCTGGCTGCACATATTTTTTTCAGTAAGTATAGAGTTGGCCCTTCATGGCCCCTGGTTTCCCATCCACAGTTTCAAACAACTGCAGATGAGAAGCAGTTAGCAATCTGCAGTTGGGAATCCGCAGATGCCGAGGGCCAACTATATGCATCGTTCTACCCCATTTTATATCAGGGACTTGAGCTTCTGTGTATTTTGGGGTCTGGTTTGGGAAGGATCTGAACCAGTCCCCCATAGATACTTAGTTAAATTTGGGGGTATTAAAAGTTACATGTGAATTTTCAACTGCATGGGGTTGGCATTCAATCTCTGTGTTGTTCCAGGGTAAACTGTATACAATAATGGTAGACCTTTCAATCATCGTTACCTTAGATACAGTGAAGGATTATTTAAATTCTGTGGCTTTAGAATTTGAGACAATAGCACAAATTGAGGCTGTTTACTTTCCTCCTTTTGAAAATCAGGTAAAAATGTTAGTGTGAAAAGCATTTCTGATGAAATGCTGAAAATACAAAACCATTGGATTGCAAGCATCTTAGGAGTATCTTAAACATGACAGTTTATAGGCTAATTAAAATTTTAATTTGTTATATAAACCTATTTTCTTCTGGGTGGCATTTTGATAATAGTTCCTTTAGCATAGTTTAGTGAAATGCATTTTTTTACCCCCAAAACTCCAATATTGAAAACTTTATACACATAACTTAGTGAGGTTTTGAAATATAAACATATGCTGGTACACATTTTTGCATAAGGAAAACAAAGGGATATTTTAAAGTTATTGTTAGCTTTCAAGTGACAAATGAAACTCTGAGCAGAATGATTAGAGGTTGGGGTTATTTGGCCTTTCTTTCCCGGTGCTCCACAGATCTGACTGCTTCATTTCTTAACGCAGCAGTTCTCAAATTCTTGGTCTCAAATAAGTTTTTATACTCTTAAAAGTTATTATTTATTACTTCATTCAAAAGAAATAATAAACCCATCTCGTTATCAAAAATAGTCTATTTTGTTGAAAGTACTATATTTTTCAAAGCAGAGACAATTATTTTTGAGAATAATGACACCGCTTTACATTTTTGCAAATCATTTAATGTCTGACTTAGTAAAAGATGACCAGATTTGCATATCTGCTTCAGCATATACGTTGCAATATCCTATTTGGTGTAAGCATATGAAGTCTAGCTTATGTAGACATGTCCTTGAGAAAGGCAGGAACTATGGCTGTCCCCAATGGATCTCAAGAACCCTGGGGTGTCACCAG